TACGAAACTATTTACTCTATGAAAAGATCTACGTTTAAAAATCAAAACGTCTAATTATTTTGTCAGCTATTCTTAGTTAATTATTTATGTCTATTATATCTTACCCATGACCAATACGCTTGGTATTTAATAAAATAGCATCGACGAGATTTTCGTCGGTGGAACTGCCCAACCAATTCGTCTCGCCTGCATGAAAGAAGAAATTAATATTGCGTTCTCCAATGTTCTTTAATAAATCCGCGAAATACTCGAGCGTGCGTCCCAAATCTTCTTGTCCAACCAGATCGAAACCAGCCATAAAATTAGGATACAAAGTTTTTAATCTTTTCATGGTTTTGATGTAATATTCCGCTTCTTTGCGACCGGCAGCTCGCGTCGGAGCGTAGATTAGTCTGACTCCTATGAAGTCTGGATGTTTCTCCTTGAATCTGTAAGTAATAAAGCAATTTATTGCGTCAAATTATTATACGGCATTGTACGACATTAAAGAACAAGCGTGACGAGCGAAGATTTTTGAAAAAAAAAAAAAAAAAATTAAGGTGCAAAGAAAGAAAGCAAAGGAGAGTAAATACCTTTGAGTAAGACTTTGATAGATAGCGACCAAATCCTCTGGCTTGTACCTGGTATCATCGAAATCGTACAGAGTTGGCAAGGTGGATCGAAGCTCGAGGTACATCACATTGTCTTCGTACAATTCTTCCAAACCTCGGAGAAAATGATCCTCGTAAATAGGTTTGTACGTGAGTAAGGGATTAATGAATGAGAATATGTCCACGAACTTGTCCCACGCTTTGTTAACGTCCACATAAGCAGACGCAGGATCGTCACACTCCATCGACATCCTCTGTCTGATCATTTTATTCACATTCTCGGCTCGTTCAGGATCGTCGCGTACCTTCCTCAGCAGCTCCCAGCTGCACGATTTGTCAGGTACTCGGAAGAAATGCAAATTAATAACACCTTTGTCGATGCAGACGTATAAATCGTCACGGAACGTGATGTTATGATACAAGTAATTGCCGCTAACAAGAGCCGTGTCGTGAACATGAAGCACCGCTCCTTTGGGCATACGGCGGAGCAACTGGAAGACCTTCGATCTCTCGATATCCTCTTTCACCACGAGGAAGTTTCGTGCAGGGGCATATCGACTAAGATTTTTGAAACCTGAGAAAATTTATTTTGGAATCTTTAATGAAACTACAAGGAGACAAGCGAAAGTGACACAATAGTAAGAAACAATATTGTTTGATCCATGTGTTGTTAGTTCACGATGAAAGTAGGAAAGAAACGAGAATAAAGAAAAATGGACACCGAGGAACAATTTCCATTGTCCATGATAGACAATTCTTTGTCGATTGGCTGATGAATGTGACAGACGACGTAACAAGATTCCAATATTGCTCATTTGTAAATCAAAAGAGGCAAGGATAAATAGAACAAGCTATTAAACAGGTTTTCCAGTTTTTTTTTCTTTTTTTTTATCCCATCGCATGATCTAGCAATCGACGTGTGCGAATTGTTCTTCAGACAATTATGAGTTTCAAACAGCAAACAAACCAGCGTTCAATTCTTCTCTCTTTACTTTCATTAAGACTTTGTTGGCGGCCCTTTCAATGTTGTTCAGAGTCAGATTGGCACCTATCATCAGTCGTTGCTCGTATTCCAATATCTCGTTCCGAAGTATCGTGTAATTAGCACGCGGGAAGGCGATATTCACGGTCGCGCAGCTGAGCAATACCATGAATGAAAAAATGAATTCCTTCATGATCGGTGATCTATATCCGGCAAATGCTGTCCTATAACGTTGCTGTCTTCAATGTTGCACGTGAAGGCCAGACTCGACGATCCGATCACCTCGACTGTTTGCACTCTACTAACTAATCATTTCTACCAAGACGGTTCTTACCATCGATAATAGCTGCCAACAGATGGGTTGAATACATAAGGCTGATGCTTGTTCAGTTATCAACGTTCCAATTAAACTGTCTCGGTCTTTTTCGTTTGTTCTTTTCTTCTTTATTTTAGATTTGACTCGAACGGGCTCCTCCGGAATATGAAACGAACGTTGTCTGTCTTTTGCTTTCTCTTTTTCTCTTCGAATTAATTGCCGCTGCATAAATTGTAATATTTCAATTATAATCGTGAGCTTTATTTTTCTTCCCCTTTCTTCTCGAGATAAATTTTATAATTTCGTGACCAGGCAAGATTTATTTTCAACTGGGACTGGACCCAGGCAATATATATTTTGTATTTATATATATATAGTGCTTCGCTGCAATGATAAAATAAAAAATATACTTATTATTCCTTTAATAATCTATCTTCAAACTACATTGCTGTTCCTTTCATTCATTGCAAATATTTTGTTTTTCAAAAGATTTGCTGAACTATTACCTTTGATAGCAGATTATTTCACAAATTCAATTTCTCACTCAATCCATTCCAGTTTCGAAGCTACGCATAAAATGGTGATACAACAAGGTTTCAACAAATTACAAATTACTCGAAGAAAAGATTTATTTTGCAGTGCAGACAACTTCATTCGTTACAAACTACAATGAATAAGTTGGAAGTGCCTCACTCGCCAGCCCAGAGAATACAAAATGCTCGCGAAATCATTTAACTTCACTCAATTAAGATTTCTTCTCTCGTTCGACCTCACTACATCATATCACTTACAATATTACGTTACAATATTACATAAGCAATAAATACTTTCCCACGAGGACTCGCCACTGAAAAATAATTGGAACCAGTCGGCTAAACAGGTTGACAAACGCTCATCTCGAATTTTTGATAACCTATAGCGGCTGAAGACAAAAACACATTATCTTGAATTTTTGGCAATGATGACAATGAAAATAATTTAAGGCACTCTCTGCACCTTATCTTTACATAAATATTCATTATCTATAACTATTGCTCACGCATCTAAAACGTACGTACGTAATACTTTAGATCTAACCTTTAATTACAAAATGGTTGTTGAATTGGTTTGCTATTTGACAGTATGTTAACAAGTATATCTTTTACTAAATAAAATTGTGTAAATATTACGAAATCAATTTGCGCGCATGTGTTCAAATCACTTTTATGACCCTTCTGCAACAATCTGTTTAATTTCGTCGGCTCGTTAAACCTCGTATGTTGTATCAGTAAAACTACGACACGTATAAATCTTTGTAGTTTTATTGGTACTAATATATACAATGTTGAATATATTATTACGAATCCAAAATATATCGATAATAGCAAAACGATCGTCATTAGAAATCTAATAACTATTGATTGCACCCATGTTGAACTTCTAGCTAGAAATAAATAAACTTAAAGTCGAAAACTATAATCAAGAATATATTTAAGTAATTATATATATATATATATATATAT